CCAGTTTAGACTGGTTTAATTTTTTTTTTCAGCAAGGCAAAATGGGCCACAATTATAATTTTAAGAAGAACTTTTATCACATTTGAAACCGCCAGAGGCAGATAATAGCATTATAGGATTATAGCGTTCCATACGGTTATTCATGAATGTAATTCATAATTACTATTTGCAAAGAAGTATGTGCATTTCTCAAAACAATTTGTACAAACAGCACCACACTATGGATCACCTGCAAAAGCCTGTAACTTACTCAAAATCGTTAGTTCATCTCTCAAAAGTAAGTATTTATGTCAATGCTTAGTCTATTGGAACTTATTTCTATCATCTGATTAACCAACGGTTGGAGCAAAAGATCTAACATTAACTTATACAGTGAATTCATTTTGTAAATGTTGTTCAGGAAACCTATAACATTTCCTCGGATGTTCATTCATATTTATTTCATGCTAATTAGAATGCACTCCTGCTTCGCTTGAACTGAGGCAAAGGGGCAGCGCACGTGAACCATCATGCCACTAAAGAGCTCCAAAACCATACAGAACACCAAACGCAGTCTGTTGACTTTGATAACACATAACCAAGTATGATGCCACACGCCCACACGCAAAACCCATTCAGACATTGCAGTGCTGGATGTGAATGATTCATGATTGTATCTATTACGTGCCAGACAGGTCTGACAGTTTTGCTAAAAGGGTAGAGATTGTTAACATGGTTAAAACAAGGAAACACTGGACAAGCTCATTCATCTGTTCTTCTGTTAAACTGGTATTAACCCAACTGATTCTAAATAAACTTAACCTAAAATTTAGCGCAAAATACATAAGTAGATATCAAGGAAAACATAAACTAACTGAAACACATGAAGAACTGGTTATTTTCTGTATGATGCAAGTACACATAGGACGTGATGGAGCTGATCCTATCAGTACTTAGGAATTCACACATTGTTCCTGTTTGCATGCTTTTGTAAATATCTTGGCATGCTTACTTGCATTTTAGTTTCATTAAATGCAGAAACAAATACTGCTATACTGTGTGAGACTGAATGAATTTCCATTGACATCCTTTTGCATATATTTGCATGTGGCCGCTAACAGTCAGGAAATATGTCATCTAAACATTTGAAGTGTGAATTTTGTAAGCCTTATAAATATAAAAGCTGTAGCACATATCATCTGACAATTTAATTGTAATAATTTAATGTCAATAAATGACTGTTTTCAGATTGTTTTAAGATGCTGAACAACTCAAATTATTTCAACTGACCATTACAAATTGTTTAGGTGTCACAAAAAAAAATATAGAAATCTACATACATAAAATAAAACACACAAACAAAAATGAAAAGTACATACCTAAAAGCAAAAGTTTCAGTTGTCGGGATGAATCCCGCTTATCCATCTTAAGCTGTCTCTCAATTTCTTGGTGAATCCTGATGCTTTCTCTGTCTTCACCTGACAAGCAGCAGTCCCCCATCCTGAACAGTTTGAACCTTCTCCAGTACTTTGCAGTTAACACATTCATCCAGTCGCTCACCAGTGTTAAAACGTCTTTAAGAAAGCCTACGGGAACACGCCTACCTCAGGACCAGCGTGATGTACTGCAGTTTACAGGTGAAGTTTCTTCCTCATTCAGTGAATGGGCTGGGTAGTGTCACATAAGGCATTTGTTCCGTTTTCCTCTGCACCAATTTCAATTGCTTTCTATTAAAACACACACACACAAAAAGCCCAAATCATGAGCAAAAGAACTGAAGAATGCCATTTTAAAATTGTGGAACATTCTTCTGTGGAACACACACACACAGTTTTTGAAGATTGTTTAATCAAACAGTTTTGGTACTCAAGAATGAAAAGTCCTTGTGTCATTGTTCACAAACAAGAGTCAAAATGTATAGTCACGTTGTCAATATAACAGTGCACTTTGTTACAGTAAGACAGTTGTTGAATTTCAGTATCATTATTTATAACTGTACATCCATGTGAGCACAATAACTGATTTGTTTTTCTTTCTTTCTTTCTTTTTTCTTTTTTTATTTCTTTCATATATATGTATATGTATATATATATATTAGATAGATAGATAGATAGATAGATAGATAGATAGATAGATATCCATGCACATATACAGTATTAACCACTTTAATTGTGTATGTAATTTTTCTACCCATCAAGTCTATAAAACAGTTACCATCAATGTTTTCTAAAAAAAAAAAAAAAAAAAAAAGACATTCCGGTAACACTTTACAATAAGGTTCCATTAGTTAATGTTAGTTAATGTTAGTCCGTTTTTTAACTAACATGAACAAACAATGAGCAATACATTTATTACAGTATTTATTCATCTTTGTTAATGTCAGTTCATGAAAACACAGTCGTTCATTGTTAGATCATGTTAATTCACAGTGCATTAAATAATGTTAACAAGCACAAGTTTCGATTTTAATAATGCATTAGTAAATGTTGAAATTAACATTAACTAAGATTAATAAATGCTCTAGAAGTATCGTTCATGCTTAGGTCATGTTAACTAAAGTAGTTAACTAATGTTAACTAATGAACCTTATTGTAAAGTGTTACCGATATTTCTTTTACATATTTGTATCATTCAAGCATATTTCGAGAAATAATAATGAAATGTACCAAAAATAATCAAATTAATGAATAGATGAATATTAATAAATTTATGAATAAATATTAAACGTATACATTAGCAGACCTTCTGTTGATAAAGGAGACATTATTTCGCTAAAATAGCCTTAAAGACATTTTGGTTAACTGTATGCCACTTTATTTTGCTTCAGTACAGGCTTTGATTGATGACAGAACTTGGGTGAACTATCCCTTTAAGTACAGTAAGAAAGACAAAAAGTCAAATGTAAACATTTTGAAAAACAAGTTTGTTAATATAGCACAGAATTCCATGCTATGTTACACATGGAATATTCCTCACATTACATCCCCCAAAATGAAATTATTAGGAACAAAATGTATGTGCATGTGATTACGTTTTCTGATAGAAACAAACTGGCTCATCTAGTATATGATGCTATGAGTGGCCTAATGAGCCGTAAGGCAAAATACAATTTCATTGCTAGTAAGAGATAGACGTTAAAAGGAAGGTCCTGCGTTACAGGATAATTATACTGGTTTCTGGGTTTTAAAGCAGTAGATGGGCATGTAAAGAACTAGAAAATAAAAAATAAAGTCTGAACAAATTCTTCTGTGGCATCTGACTGTATATTTAAGCGTGTAAGGTGTCTTGTGTCACAGCACACTTATGCAACACTTTTAAGATGGAATGAGGAAGTATGAACAAAAACATGTTATTAAACAGCATAAATAGCAGGTCCAGTCTAGCACAGAACTTATTAAACTATTGCATTTAAGCGTATTTGCTAAATAGGTTTAATAGTTGTGTCTCTCAAAATATACAGTGGAAGGTAATGCAAGTTTATTTAGCACAGTTCATTCGCAATAGTAATTAGTGCTTCACATGAAAAGGATTTAGAAATAATCATAACACATTATTAAAACAAAATTATTAATACAAAGTAAAAAAATTAAGATTCTAATAAAATGTTTAAAATATAATTGAAGACAAACAAGAAGAAAAGAGAAGAATAAATAAGAGGATGCAGTACTTCAGTAGGACACATCACAGTGCTGATTCAGTAAATGCACAGTGAAACAGATGGGTTATGATCCTGATTATCTGAGTGGTCTGCTAATATTCAGTGAGCATATCTGATATGCAGTGTTGGGGAAAGTTACTTTTAAAAGTAATGCATTACAATATTGCATTACTCCCTAAAAAAGTAACTAATTACGTTACTTAGTTACTTTTTATGGAAAGTAATGAGTTGCGTTACTTTCGCGTTACTTTTTAAATATGAGCAGGGCTTGATTGTTTTTAATATAAGAAGTTCTATTTATAGCAAATGTAAAAGCCCTTTCCCACCAAAAAGTGTAATGAATAAACCTCAGGCTGAAAGGAAAAGTAAATTCGCGTCTGTTCAGTAGAACGCAGGAGAAGAAGGTTCAACACTCTTCAGCAATAAAAAAAAA